CCAAAAGTGGTTTCTTCCCTAAACCCCCAAAACTTTAACCTTAGACTCTCTACTGTCAACCTCACCCCATTCCTAAGAGGTCCGTAAAGGGGGCGTGCATAAGCGCACCAGCGTGCCTTCCGCCCCTGTCCTGATCTTCCCTTTTATTCATACCCATTTCATGTATTCATCATCATGTCTATACTTATATCTGTTATCTAATTCATATTTGACAAAATAAATAAAGTACTTTTTCAAGAGGCGTTTGGACTTTCAACTCTTCAGAACTGAAGAAGCTTCTTGGATGAGAAAAGAAACGACTTCAAAGAAAAAACCAGAAAGTCCAGTCCACTCTTGAAAAAGCACCTTTGGGACGTCTCTGCTGCATTTCCTGCCTGAAAAAGGGTAAGGACTGTTTTTACGTATTGTACAATGCAGTCTAGCAATTGGCAAGATCTGATGGATAGGATGCAGTGGTGGGTTTCAAATTTTTTTTCAAACCTACTCTGTGGGTGTGGCCTCTTTTGTGGGAGTAGCTTGCTGACCATGTGTTTTCTTTCTTTCTTTCTTTCTTTCTTTCTTTCTTTCTTTCTTTCTTTCTTTCTTTCTTTCTTTCTTTCTCTCTCTTTCTCTCTTTCCTTCCTTTTGTCTCTCTGTCCCTTTTTCCTTTTTTTCTTTCATCTCTCTCTCACTTTTTTTTTCTTTATTTCTTTCTTCCTTTCTTTCTCTTTCTGTGTGTGTGTGTGTGTGTGTCAGTGGTGGGTTTCAAAATTTTTTGGAACCTCTTCTGTAGGTGTGGCCTGCTTTCTGGTGGAACATCTTCTAACCGGTTAGGTAGGTTTGACGAACCGATTCTACCGAACTGGTGCGAACTGGTAGGAACCCACCTCTGATAGGATGGGACAGGATAGGATAGAATAGGATAGGATTAAGAAGAGAAGAGAAGAGAGAAGAGAATAATATAAAGAATAGAATAATAGAATAGAATAAGTTGAGAATAGAATAGCAATAAAATTCTTTATTGGTCAAGTCTGATCGGACACTCACAAGGAATTTGCCTCTGGTGCATACGCTCTCAGTGTGCATATAAACAACTAAGTAATATAATCATAAAATGGAAGCCAAATTGACTTCAGTGGGGTTCTCTCCTGTAATGAGAGATAATAGGTATCTTTGAGATGAACCAGCCCTTCTGGGACCTGTGGGAAGAAGCTATAAACATTACAACTGTGTTAGAAATATTGTAAAGGGAATGATGTGTTAACTGATCCAAATCAGGTCTCCGTAAAGTTACTGATTTACAGCCTCTGACATCCTTTAAACTTACTCAAGCAGAAGAATTAATTAAACACTTATTTCAAACGGTAAAAACGGGTAAACACACACAAGTAGACACACAAAATGCAATGTCAACATAACAGGATTCAACTGAAGAGTCTCAGTCCATATCACTTGATTTAATCAACTCCTTCTCTGGGGTCAACACATACAAATGCCCACACGCCTCCAGGGTCACCCTAAAATCAGGACCTAGACTTTATAAGCTCCCCTTATAAAACAATACCTATGTACCCCATTTTCTCTGCAGCTGCCCCCATAAGACAAATTTATTGACTTTTGGGAATAAATCATTCTCCTTTCCTCATAGCTGTCTGGATTTAATTTTTATTTATTCCTACATAACGTCGGTTTGGGTTGGGACCCGAAATTATTCTTCTGATAGGGCCTTCGCTTCTGAAGTACAGGTAGTCCTTATAACAGTTCATTTAGTGGCCGAAGTTATGATGGCACTGAAAAAAGTGACCTTTTTCACACTTACGACCACTTACATGATTTACATCCACATGTTTGGCAACCGACTCACATTTATGATGGCTGCAGGGTTCTGGGTCATGTGATCCCCTTTTGTGGCCTTCTGACAAGCAAAGTCAACCAGATTCACTTAACAGCCATTTGACTAATTTAAGAACTGCAGTGATTCACTTAACAAAGGTGGCGAGAAAGGTTGTAAAATGCAACAAAATTCACTTAACAAATGTCTCACATAGCAACATAAATGGGCACAATTCGTAAGCAAGGTTTCTGGTTTTATCTTTACATTCACTGTGAGAATATGAATCTTACTCCAATATGTCTTTGCAAACTAGATTAGTCTTTCCCAACCTCGGCCACTTTAAGTTGTGTGGACTTCATCTCCCAGAATTCCAGCTGAGAATTCAGCTGGGAATTCTGGGAGATGAAGTCCACACGTCTTAAAGTGGCGGAGGCTGAGACATACTACATTAGATGGGTTTCCCATCAGTAACACAGCAGCACTCTTTGGGTGGTGCGGGGTTTTCCCATTTCCCCCAGCATTTCTTTCACTACACACTTCCACAGTGTTGTTCCCTGATACAAAATCAGAAAGTCTCCTCCTCAAGGAAGGGATACATGGAGCGTATCTGGACAGGGTCTTTTGGGGAGGCCGACTGTTGATAAGAATGCAAAGAAGTAAATTAAACTTATTTTTACTTAGTTAAATAAAGTACAGAGGGCCAGCAGGAAGGGGTGGGCGTAAGATCCAGCCTGAGCTGCTATGTTGCCCCTTCTCGCCTCTTAGGGGTTAAAGCAAGAGAGGCGAGATGGCTAGAAAGGCCAAGAGGAAGGAAAGAGAAGGGGAAACCAGCTGTTTCCTGTCCTGTATCCTGTCTTGCCCCTCCTTCTCCCCCCTCCCCGCAAAGGGGTCTTTGTCTTGGGATGCCTGGTGAGTTCCTCCCTGGGAGGGGAGGGAGGCTACCTGGGATGGCGGTGCCAGGTGAAGGCAGTAGGAAGGGGGGCAGCTATGGAGAGTCCACGCCTGTGGAGGGATGGAGACCCAAGGGAGGGAGGGGGGAGGGAACCGTTGGAGGATTCAATGAGGTCCAAAAGACCACCCTCTCCCAGACATCTGGCGCTGTTGGTCTCGAGCCCACCGCCCACCCACCACCTTTTAAAATGAAATGCAATCCATGGAGGAGGAAAGTTTAACTCAAGCTTGAGTCCCTTCCTGTGCATGTGGCCCACGGTGTTAAGCATCTAGGGGTGCAGACAATGAACCATCCGACTTGGTCTTTTCATACGTTATGCTCTGACCCAGCTTCCCAAACACAACAAGCCCTCTGCAGGGAACTCAAAAGATTCCTTTATTTGGAGTGCCGGCAGCCCTGGTCAAAAGTTTCTCTCTCAGGCTAACAAGTCCAGCTGGCGGGAAGATAAATAGTTGTCTGCCACATCTATTCATCTCTGCCCCCTGCCTTTCATCCCCAGAGCTCGGGTGGGGCTTCGCTAGCAGCAGTGGCTCTTCCTTCCCCAGGATCGGCCCATGGATTTCCACTGCTCTCCTCTCCTCTGCTGTCTGCACATCCATGCATCAGGCACTGGAACCAGTTGTTCCTCCTCTTCCTCATCAGCGACCTCCAGACCTGGGGGCTGTTGACTCTCCATCTGAGGGCTGATGGATGGGCCAGGCTCCATTTCTTTCTCTCTCTCTCTGCCAGCTCCATTCCCTCTCCCCCCTCGGAGCTCTCAGGTTGCCTTGATGCTGACCCTGACTCCCACGCCTCCTCCCCCTGCTCTGATTCGGCTGCTGGAGGTGCCTGACACGTTATCTTTAGCAAGTGTGCTGCCACCTTGGGACGCAACAGTCATAAATATGAATCAGTTGCCAAGCATCTGAATTTTGATCATGTGACTCGGGGGAATGCCGCAATGGTCGTAAGTGTGGGAAAATGATCACAGTCACTTTTTTCAGTGCCGTTGCAACTTTGAATGGCCACTAAAGGAAATGTTGTAAATCGAGGACTGCCTGTAGAACACTTGGAATGCCTAAAAAAAAGAAAAATGTGTGTGTGTGTGTGTGTGTGTGTGTGTGTGTGTATGTATATATGTATGTATGTATGTATGTATTTAGTGTCACAACCCCTGGTATGCCCAAATATGGGAAGAAGCCTACTGCTTCCTTTCTCTGTCTATCGGCTCGTCACAAGAGACCATCCAGACAGAAGCCCAATATTTTTACTGTTGCCTTTGTTACATTTGTGTTGTATTTGTGCTGATAAATAAATAAAGGGAGACTAGTATAGATCTATTTCAAGCTATTTAGCTCTCATCAGCTAGCCATACCCTTACTGGGATTCGAACTTGGGCTGTATTACATATTAGGTAGATGTGTTAACCACTAAGCCACAAGGTTCTCCTCCTTTATCAGCTGATACATACCTATTTCCCTGGCTCAGCTGATAATGGTATACCTAGGAAGGGGGTTGGACTAGAAGACCTCCAAGGTCCCTTCCAACTCTGCTATTGTATTGTATTGTATTTGTGTGTGTGTGTGTGTGTGTGTGCATATATGTATGTATGTATGTATGTAGATAGATGAGAGAGAGAGAGAGAGAGAGAGAGAGAGAGAGAGAGAGAGAGAAGGGCTCTGAATTGAGTGCTTCTCAATCAAATTAATTCAGCCTTCTCCAGGCTGATACCCTCCAGATGGGAAGTATTTCCATTGGGTCTATGACAATTTGCAATGGCCAACTTGCCACCACCAACTTGCCACAGCCAATTCGTTGCAGGACAACTGGCCATGTCCATCTCACCACACCACAGCTCGCTGTGGGACAAGAGTTACTACATATCATAACAAAGGAATAGAATCATGAAAGAAAGGATCCGTAAGGAGGGACAGAATGAACCACGAATGGCAAACAGTAAAATAATTGTTTTACCTATTTTAAATAATTAAATAGAATTGTTAAATTGTCCCCCAGAGTTACCCCGTGGCAAGTTGGCCGTGGCAACCTATCCAGTGATTTATCTAGTTGGCCATGGTGAGTAGGCTACAACAAGTTCCCTGTGGTAAGTTGTCCCGTTCCCTTTCCATCTTCCTAGGTATTCTGAGATTTGCAGTTCAGCACATCTGGGAAGCCCCAAGTTGTGGAAAGTAGGCTTATGGCTTTGTTCTCTATTGTTACAGGTGTGATCATCTCTAACGTTTGAGGTCTAACGTTTCTCCACCAGAAGATGCCACAGTTATCAGCTGGCATTGCTTACCAGATCCTTTACCGCTTTGAGAATGTGCTACACCCTGGCTTTTTATAGCTTCGGACCCTGTTTCCTTTAAGAAGAAGTTTCAGAGATTTGCACCCCCCCCCCCTGCTCTTGATGGGATCTACCCTGGAACAATTTAAAAATGGAGCAAAATCTGGCTGGATCAGAAGCAGGAAGGAGCTCTGATGCTCTCCAGGTGGAGCTGGGGGCTGCTAAGATGATGCCAGGGGAGTCCATCCACATAGGGGATGCCCGATGCCTTCACTTCCGGCACTTCCGCTACCCAGAGATCTGGGGACCTCGAGAGGTGTTCAACCAGCTCCGTGATCTTTGCTTCCTGTGGCTCCAACCTGAGCATCGTACAAAGAATCAGATTCTGGATTTGGTGATCCTGGAGCAGTTCCTCGCTGTCCTTCCTCCAGAGATGGAGAGCTGGCTTCGAGAATGTGGGCCGGAAACCAGTTCTCAGGCGGTGGCCCTGGCCGAAGGATTCCTGCTGAGTAAGGCTGAAGAAAAGGAAGAGCAGCAGGTGAGTATCCTGGTCCAGGTATTCCTCGATTTATGACCACAGTGTGAGCTCAGGATTTCCGTCGCTAAGCAAGACAGCTGTTAAGTGAGTTTTCCAACTTTTTCCAACCTCTCTAGCCACAGTGAATCACTGCAATTGTTTTTAATAATAATAAATTAATTAATAAAATTGTTATAATTAGTAAATTAATAAAATTATATGGGAGACATGATAGTAGTATTCCGATATCTCAGGGGTTGCCACAAAGAAGAGGGAGTCCAGCTATTCTCCAAAGCAGGACAAGAAGCAATGAGTGGAAACTAATCAAGGAGAGAAGCAACTTAGAACTGAGGAGAAATTAATCAATTAATCAATGGAACAACTTGCCTCCAGAAGTTGTAGATGTTCCAACACTGGAAGTTTTAAAGAAGATGTTGGATAATCATTTGTCTGAAGGGTTTCCTGCCTAAGCACTGGGTTGGACTAGAAGACCTCCAAGGTCCCTTCCAACGGTATTCTATTCTATTCTATTCCATTCCATTCCATTCTAAATAAAAAGTGTGGAGAAGAAGGGGAAAGAAGAAAGAAAAAGCATTGCCTTCTAACTCCCGTAGGGCAATAACATCAAACCACATTTTTTAGTCTTACATAGTACTTTACACTAGCCATTTCCATGACACCATATCTATCTAATTGGTAAAGCCCCAAATCAAAGTTTCATTTTTTTTCCTACCACGAAGTCCAGAAACGGTTTCCAGGTAGAAACAAAAATAAGTGTGCTTTTTTCTTTAATCAAATTAGTCGATTTAGCCACCTCTGCTAACTCCATCAACCTTTGCAGCCATTTGCCCATTGTGGGGATCAAAGTGTCCTTCCATTTCTGAGTGTACATCACTGCAATTGTGAAGTTGGTACTATGGTTGTTGTTGTGGCCCAGCAGGAGCCGTTGGAGCTGCCACCAGACTCCAACAGCGAGGGGCCCTATGAGTCGGCTCTGGAGGATGTGGAGGACCCTGGACAGGGTTCCGACTCCGAGCAGGGCGCAGAGAGGCTGGTTGGCCACCAGGAGGCGCCTGAGCCTTGGACCAGTGGGGAGGAGACAAGGGAGAGTGATCCAGAATCCAACTGTGAGTTGTTCCTGGATGCCCGGCACCGAAGAGCTAATAGGCGTCAGGAACAATTGCGCAAGTACAGGAGGTAA